CTGAAACCTCAACAGCTAAAGCTGAGAAGCCCCAAAACATATAAGCTTATAATCACTTAAAAACTATTAATGTTCTGCAAAAAGCTTTCTGGCTTCAGCAGGTTTCTTCTGGACCTTCCCGTATTTCATCCTATTAGCAGGCTCTCTTCCCACTGCTCTCTATTTAAAGATCCCCTGAAACCTTCTCTTCCCTCTGACAGAAGTCTCATAAACATACCCCTGCTTTGTACCAGCACTTCCTTTCCAGTGTCAATTGTTGGTCCTTAACATGCATTTCCACTCCCCCACAAGCCAGAGTAGGGAGCAATTATTCATCATTTTACATAATAAAAGAGCGGAGAAGGATGAAATTAAATGGTGAGGATGCGGGTTAAAAAAAAACAAAAAACACACAACAAAAAACCAACACACACACAAAAGGAAGTAGCGCACACAAACTATGTAATTCATTTTCATAGGATATTCTAGAGGACAAAAGAGTAAGTTACAAGATTTAAGTTAGACAGCTTTATGGAGGTAAAGCCCCTGAATGGCTTACAGAACTATTAAACACAAAGATGCACAGGCAGTCTAGTTTAGAGGCAACAAAGTTTAGCGACCTTCTGAACCAGATATTACTGCAACCTGAGAGATGGAAAGAGTACGTCACTGAAGGTACCATATAAAATCACTGTCCTGTTCCCAGAACCTTTCCTAAAGCAACTGATCCTGTCCACTATCAGAGACGGGGTGAGGGGAGAGGGAGGAAGACGATCTTGGATCAGACCCATTACATGCAGTTTTGTAGACTTATATTTAATTTATTTAAGATTCTTGAAATAAAGTTAAGTTTTGTGATAACAGCCACTGACCCAGATCTCTCCTGCAGTACTCAATATAATAGATGGCTTCAAGATATCCCCTCTCAAACAATGATATGGGGTTTTCAACATACCCTAATAACAGACATTTCTATAGAGCAATCCAAAGCTCACATTCTCCAAGCTTTCCCCAAATCACCAACGCTCACACTTTTGCCTCATTTCAAAGTTATAGCACGAAAGATGCAAACATGCTATTTCTACATTTTTTTAGGCCACAGAAATATCCGAATTGCTTTGGATTTTTATTGTTAGAGCGTTGTTTTTATGGGTCTCGAGAATTCTCTAACGCTTACACTCCTATATCCCTGGGCTCAACTCCATTTCATGCTATTTGTCTTTATTAATTAGGAGGGTCTCGAAGTTTGACACATACATGCACTAATCAGAAAGTGCCAAAAAGCTTTATGATTAAATTGCAACAAAGGTGAATAATTATCAGCACACGGAAGACAGACAACTTCAAAGCACGACAAGAGATGAACTCAGCAGACGGAGAACCCTCCTCATAAACTGATTGCTTTTAAACTGACAGTTGGCAAGGTTTAGTCGTCTTTGCTGAAGAAGTTAAACGGTTAAAAAGAAGTCACAAGGAACATGACAGTGACTAGCCATAAGGGAGGGACCATGCAGAACGAAGAACTGAATTATTTAAGTGGGGAAAGAGAGACATGAGAGAATACATCCAAAAAGGTAACAGATAAACAGGAACGCCAGAGCAAACCCAGTACAACATTTTACAGGCACGGTAAGGTATCGTTAAAAATACGCCAGACTTCAGCTATTTAGCCAGGGTGCAACCAGAGCAGGGCGCACAGCGATTTTAGGGGAGGGTGCGCAGATGAAGCCGGGGCGGGAGGCTGCAGGCCCGG